ACGGAAAGACTAAGAACCCTAATTAAATTCAAGATGTCGTCTGTAAAGTTATTTCTAGTGATATTACACTGATGAGATTTTTTCAAAGCTCATAATAAGCATGCCAGGAAACTGTGTTAAAAGGGGTAGCAGTCAACTCAATTTATTGGATCATAGCGTGTATGCAATATGATTGTCTAGTGGGGTGTTTACAAACGTCTTTTGTTATTCCATGTGTTATTTCAATAAGGAAAATTGATTTGCGTTTGTTTTTAATTTTGAATAATAATTTTAAAATTCTTTCCACATAAGAGTAAAAAAACACAGGTTTTTTGAGATGTAGTGTGACAAGATTGTTGATGTGGAGGGATTTATTACATAGAAAGGTTTACGATAAAAGGCTTACAATTTATCCTTATTTTTACTCACTAAAACATCCAAAAAAGATAAACAACCATTTATCTCAACTTTATAATTAAATTTTATAAAATTATCAATGTCATTAAGGAAGTTAGCAAAATTAGCTAGTTCACCTTTACCATACTGCCAAATCAAAATTGGTGTTTTGATAACTGTATAAATAAGTGTTATTTTTTTGCAAAACATTACACTACTGAGTGATGATGCATTGGTATATGTTGAAACATGTAGAGTGTATGAGATTGTTTTCTAGTTTCATCGTTTTTTACCACTTTTTAACCTTGTACAGTAAGTTATTATTTTAGTAGTTTGGAGTCTGGAAACAATCTCATTTTTATAGAATTGTGTATAAAATAATCGTTGTTTGTATTTAAAAAAATGAGTTTTTCAGATTGAACCTTACACACGTGCCAATTTTTTTTAAAAAAACAACAAATGGTACTATTTAAACATGCCCTATCCATGAACATAAACAACAAGTGGTACTGTTTAAACATGCTATCCATGAGCATAAACAACAGTGGTACTGTTTAAACATGCTATCCATGAACATAAAGAACAAGTGGTACTGTTTAAACATGCTATCACTGAACATAAACAACAAGTGGTACTGTTTAAACATGCTATCCATGAACATAAACAACTAATGTTTAAACAGTACCACTTGTTGTTTATGTTCATGGATAGAATGTTTAAACAGTACCACTTGTTGTTTATGTTCAGTTATAGCATGTCTAAGCAGTACCATTTGTTGTTTATGTTCATGTATAGCATGTTTAAACAGTACCACTTGTTGTTTATGTTCATGGATAGCATATTTAAACAGCACCACTCTATCCATGAACATAAACAACAAGTGGTACTGTTTAAACATGTATCCATGAACATAAACAAACAAGTGGTACTGTTTAAACATGTTATCCATGAACATAAACAACAAGTGGTACTGCTTAGACATGCTGAAGATAGTTTCTAACTGAGTTGATAATAAGACTAAAGTAACTTTCATACCTCAAGATTTCTTGCTATTCTCATGATTTTACCGAAGTATTTATTTTACTTTGATAAAAATAGACTAAATAACAAGTTGATGTTCATTTTGCACGAGACTCATATTTGTAAAAGTAAACATTAAAGTTCGAAACATGAGGATAAAGATGAGCTTACAATTGTGTTACATACTTAAAATACTGAGTCAAGATTGAGGATACGAGGGACTATCCATCAATACGTTTCCATCTCATGCTTACTGAATTTCAATCACGTCTATGTTATTCTATAATAATTTATGATGTTTACTTAGGATTAAAGTGATCCAGCTATCAGTTTACGAAATATATAAACATTAGTTTCATTTGATCGAGAATTATCTTTAAAGTTTTATGTTTTTAATGACACTATGAAAAGTAGAAACAACTAAATAGAATAATAACAAGTTAGATATCTTGGATGCTATAATACTTCGTTTTGTAATTCTGTCGTCAGTATTCTTATATTGTATTGTTAAATTATTTGTGTATAAAAACATTCACCTACAAACACTGAAGATACATTTTCAAAATTAAACTGTGGATAGCCAAAGCTAAATGTTCTGATTGCTGTACAGCTAAAGCTAAATGTTCTGATAGTTGTATAGCTAAATATAAACGTTCAGAGCTAAGCTGTGGATAGCTAAGGCTAAATGTTCTGATAGTTGTATAGCTAAACTGTGGATAGCTAAAGCTAAATGTTCTGATTGCTGTACAGCTAAAGTTAAATGTTCTGATTATTGAAGAACTAAAATAGACCTTCAGAACTCGATCACTAGATGTAAACATTCTGAATACGTCACTGTGTTTAGTTCTATAATGATATTTCAATAAATAGCTACTGGAAGTTAAAAGACATCGGCAGCGTGTTTTCGTTTATTAATTAAAGAATTCAGAAGTTGATCGGCATTAAGAAAGGAAAACAACGTCTATGTTCCTCGTTTCACAATACGTCCTTTACCCGGCGTCACATACCCAAGAGGACAAAAATAGTCAGTCTTTGTCCACCGCCAAGTCTCGACTTATCCGTCTGCAGTGTTCTCAAATTGAAGGTTACGCAGTGCTGGCAAACTGTGGAAGCCGTGACGGTGTTCAGAGGAAGAGTATACTTTCAGGGTACGGTCACAGTGTGTCTCTGTGTTGGGTGTAATGTTAATATTTGTTCTAAGGACTTTACATTGCTTTAATTCGATACTGAAGAACGTAAGCTCGGTGATATTCTTCAAAAAAATACATGTTTTTATGTCCCTCTCACTTATTACTCTAATACCACAAATACATGTATTTATGTCCCCCTCACTTGTTTCTTCTAATACCACAAATACGTGTTTTTATGTCCCCCTCACTTGTTGCTTCTAATACCACAAATACATGTTTTTATGTCCCCCTCACTTGTTTCTTCTAATACCATAAATACATGTCTTTATGTCCCCCTCACTTGTTACTTCTAACACCACAAATATGTGTTTTTATGTCCCCCTCACTTGTTACTTCTAATACCACAAATACATGTTTTTATGTCCCCCTCGCTTGTTTCTTCTAATACCATAAATACATGTCTTTTTGTCCCCCTCACTTGTTACTTCTAATACCACAAATATGTGTTTTTATGTCCCCCTCACTTGTTACTTCTAATACCACAAATACATGTTTTATGTCCCCCTCACTTGTTTCTTCTAATACCAAAATACGTGTTTTTATGTCCCCCTCACTTGTTACTTCTAATACCACAAATACGTGTTTTTATGTCCCCATCACTTGTTACTTCTAATACCACAAATACATGTTTTTATGTCCCCCTCATTTGTTACTTCTAATACCACCACAAAGGGGAGAAACGTCTATATTTTGCAGTAATTTCTTTGTCATAGCGAAACTAGAATTAAGATTGCAACATTTTAACTTCAACTGGTTTAATAAGTATTTTCAAATAACTTTTCACATTTAGCATCTCCAATGATTCTTTAGTTTAATTGACACTCATTTACTCAACTTTTCGGGAATTTTAACTGATGGACTTCATATTATTTAAAGAAAAGATGGTTGACTTGCCACAGACGATGTACATACGGGGATGGCTAGACATCTTTAGTCTGGTTGTAATGTCTTATCCCACTTTTGGGGAGTTTAAAATATCTTTAGTCTGGTTGTAATGTCTTATCACACTTGTGGGGAGTTTAAAATATCTTTAGTCTGGTTGTAATGTCTTATCACACTTGTGGGGAGTTTAAAATATATTTAGTCTTATTGTGATGTCTTATCACACTTGTGGGGAGTTTAAATACTTTAGTCTTGTTCTGATGTCTTATCACACTCGTGGGGAGTTTAAAATATCTTTAGTCTTGTTGTGATGTCTTATCACACTTGTGGGGAGATTAAAATATCTTTAGTCTTGTTGTGATGTCTTATCACACCTGTGGGGAGTTTAAAGTATCTTTAGTCTTATTTTGATGTCTTATCACACTTTTGGGGAGTTTAAAATATCTTTAGTCTTGTTGTGATGTCTTATCACACTTGTGGGGAGTTTAAAATACCTCTAGTCTTATTGTGATGTCTTATCACACTTGTGGGGAGTTTAAAATATCTTTAGTCTTGTTGTGATGTCTTATCACACTTGTACTGTAACAGTCTGTAAAATGAGAACATAAACTCGTGATATGTCACCATACTTTGTTGTTTATTTGTAAATAAATGTCAAGGTTGAAAATGTGTATGCAGCTAAAAACGGGATTAAACAGAAAAATAGCAGTGTATTGCAAAATTGTGGTGTGTTCTTTTTCCAATCCCGTTTTTAGCCGTAAATAATTTTAAACATATAATATACGTAACATTTGAAGGTATCTGTAAGACATATAATATACGTAACATTTGAAGGTATCTGTCAGACATGTAATATACGTAACATTTGAAGGTATCTGTGAGACATATACTATACGTAACATTTGAAGATATCTGTCAGACATATACTATACGTAACATTTGAAGGTATCTGTGAGACATATAATATTTGAAGGTATCTGTTAGACATATAATATACGTAACATTTGAAGGTATCTGTTAGACATATAATATTTGAAGGTATCTGTGAGACATATAATATACGTAACATTTGAAGGTATCTGTGAGACATATAATATACGTAACATTTGAAGGTATCTGTCAGACATATAATATACGTAACCTTTGAAGGTATCTGTGAAACATATAATATACGTAACATTTAAAGGTATCTGTGAGACATATGATATACGTAACATTTGAAGGTATCTGTGAGACATATAATATACGTAACATTTCAAGGTATCTGTGAGACATATAATATACGTAACATTTGAAGGTATTTGTAAGACATATTATATTTGAAGGTATCTGTGAGACATATAACATACGTAACATTTGAAGGTATCTGTGAGACATATAATATACGTAACATTTGAAGGTATCTGTGAAACATATAATATACGTAACATTTGAAGGTATCTGTAAAACAAGGTTTATGAGCAGATGTTTATTTAGCTATTCTTCTACAAAACATAAATCTCTGAACAACGGTCAGTAAAGTAAGCTGGTTACCTTTCTTGGTAGCTCGAAAGTTGTCATAGCGGTCAAGTCTCTCCATGTGGGCGACTAAAGTGGACCTAGGAAGCATGGTAATATCAGCATTAATTCGGTCTACAGCCAATCGGAAAGCAAACTCTTCCTCGTCATCTCCAATATCAAACAAGCCACCTGGTGAAAATCAAACAAAACACATCATATACCTTAAGAAGGAAAGAATGATAATAAGAAATTCAACGTTTACCAATAATTTATTGTAAAATATACAATTAGAATTCTACATGTTTCGGTGTAAAAACATTCCATCATCTTCAGGAGACCTTTCTACAATAAATTATTGTGCATTAATTATATCATGAAATCTGTGCACAAGAACGGTCATAGAGCGTGTTGAATACAAATATGTGCTATAAACCCATACCATTACGTGAAGTAAAGTAAACATATACCATCAAGTGAATTAAAGTAAACACATACCATCAACTGAAGTAAAGTAAATACATACCATCAACTGAAGTAAAGTAAATACACACCATCAACTGAAGTAAAGTAAACACATACCATTAAGTGAATTAAAGTAAATACACACCATTAAGTGAAGTAAAGTAAATACACACCATTAAGTGAAGTAAAGTAAATACACACCATTAAGTGAAGTAAAGTAAATACACACCATTAAGTGAAGTAAAGTAAACACATACCATTAAGTGAATTAAAGTAAACACATACCATCAACTGAAGTAAAGTAAATAC